ATTTAATTGTAAACTGAAGTTTACTTAAAATTGTTGTAAACTGGAGTAAAATGGGAGTTTAAAAAGAGAAGAACTAAGCATGAAGTAACGTATAGATAATTTATTTCCATAAACCGTAAATTTGTAAAGAAAATAAAAAAAATATTTTCCAGTTAAAGTTAAATTACATTTGAAAAAAGCTGTAAATATTAAGTGAATTGTGGTTTTGAAGCAAATTTAAAATAAATTTTACATTTGGAGCAAGTTGTTGCTGCTGTAAAGGAAAGATAAAGTTACTTTATTTGAGATAAAAACTCTCGAATAAATTTCTTTAGATTCATTACTTGGGATCCGAATAAAGAATTTTTGAGCATGTTTTTTGTTATTTAATATTTTCAAATGCTGAAAATATAATAATTAAATTTTCATGATGGTTTAAAAATAATAAATACGAAATTCAAATTTTAAGCAACATAAAATGTATAGTAGTTGTAGTATTATAAATTTTATGTAGCTTACTAACATATGTATCAGTATTAAAATCTAAACCAAACTATGGGTAAACGATAGTCACTGAACACACAACGTTAATTAAAAAGTACTAAAGTAAGTTGTAAATTTACATTAAGTATTTACTTTAAAATAAGTTGTAAATTTGAATTGAATTGCAATTTTTAAGTAAACGTAAACTGAAAATAAATTATTAACTTAGTTCGATAAATAGTAAGCAATCAAGGTATAGACATAGATCAAAAATAGAAAGATTATTTAAAATAAAAGTTCTCGAATAATGTTCTCTCGATTCATAATTCGGGGGTAAAATCAAAATATAAGAATTAATTCTTTTCTGATTCACACATGGTGAAAATCAAGTTAGTATTTTAATATAGATATATACATTGAAAAAGTACTAATTGAAACGTACATGGAGCGTTAAGATGAAAGCACGATTGTAAATTGGAAATATACTTTAAAATTTAAAAATGTTTAGTACTTAAAAAAAAAAAAAAAAAAAAAGATTTTTATTCCTTTTTTTATCTGAACAGAATTGATTGTAAATATATCTAATTTTTTTTTTAAATATGCATTAAACCGTAAATACAAACGTTCTTAATGCAAATTTATATCAATAAAATTAACGTAAATTAAGAATTTAAAGTAAGATGCAAAATAAGATTTATTTAAACGAATTGTAAATTTGACTTGAAACTTATATTTCAAATTGAGTAAGTTTTAAATGAGCATTGAAAATATGATGTAATTATTATACATAAAGTATATTCTAAATTTACTTCAATAAACTTGAAGCAAATTAATGTTGTAAAGAACTTCTAAATATCTGAAATATTTGAAACATTAGTTTGATAGTACTTTTTCTATATTTCAATCCCTTAAAAATTTAATTTGAATTTTCCAAAATTAGAGTAAAATAATCGATTTTTTCAATATGACAGCCGACTATTTCCTTGGAAAGGAAGTAGGTTTAAAAAACCTTTTTATTAATTTTGCAAATAAAATTTGTATTCAGTTATATAATCAGCTAATTTTCGTAGAATAGGTGTTCTATGTTTATTCACGGGAATTATTTATCGTTCGATGATTTTTTTTAAGCGTCGCATATTCCTTTGATAAATAGCTCAAATGATATATATGCGTGTTGTGTAAATCTATTTCATGTGTTAGCTTCGAAACTGCTTTAATAAATTTAAAAAAGAAATATTTAAATTTAAATCAATCTCTAATTTAGCACTTGAAAGAAAAATCAAACTACAATAAATATTATTTTTATAATGCAATATAATTTCACAAATCTGAAATTATTAAAGATAAAATATTTGAAAAAGAATTAAAATAAATCAAATAACTTTGCATAAGATGACAGAGTTGATCTATAGATGGCGCCACTATAAGTACTTCTCAGAAAACCCAAATTTATGACTTGTAGGCATAATAAATCTCTCCTGATATGTATTATGTTAATTTAATATGAGGTGTGAAAACGTAAAAATGTAATTTGTAAACGATTATCTCGTGCTACTAATTCGTTGTAAATGTTTGTTTGTTGATGAAATTGAGTTAAAAATGCTTTTATTCCGTGTTAAACTAAGTTATTTTAGTAATAAGCTTAAATAATTTATATCATTTAAAATTTAAGTTATGAATTATTTATTTAATATAATTATTAATCTATAATTTTTTAAAAAATAAAAAAATTTAATTTAATGTTATACAAAAATTATTAAAAATCATAACTACAAATAACATGCAAATGTTTTTTTAACATATTTTCGAATAAAATAATTTTAAATATTTTTTTCAAAAATTTTTTGATTTTTAACGTCTATTTTCTATTAATTATATGCTGATTAACTTTTGATCTTTACATTTCAGTTAATCTAATATTTGTTTTTTATAACAATAGTGATTATATCGTTATGGTTCCTGATTTTCTAAATAATATTTTTGCAAAGAAAAGTAATAATTCAAATATTTTGAAATTTTAGTTTTTAGCTGGTATAAAATATTCCATGTTATATAGAATTGCTAATTTTAATAAAAATTTTTTGCAAGAAAAATTATTACGAGAATTGATTGATATTAATAAAATGTTATAACGACATGAATAAATTATCTTACTTTTAAAAAATAATAAATTGTCGCATTGAGATATGCTTGACGAATAACGGTTTTAGAAGATAATCACTACCAATTTCAATAATTATTAAAAACATAAATAATTACCACAAATAATAATGCTCTATTAGTATTTATTACATTAACAGTGATAACTGAATACCACTTATAACAATTACATGTAACAAGAACTTACCAGGGCCCGAATTAATTTTTGAACGTTTTAAAAATTAGAAAATCAATAAATTTCCTAATCATAAAATCAGCATTTTTAACAGAACTAAGAGTTTTCAGCAGGATTTTTTTCTTTTTCTTTCGTAGAACAATATTGCGTACAATACATCTAAAATCATAAGCATCATCTAAAACGTAAAATGAAAAGTACACTTGTAAGTAAAGAAGTTAATATTTATAGTATAATTAAAGAATGTATTAAATAACTATTAAAATTTCAGAATATTTTATTCTTAATTATCGAAATGCAATTATCGAAATGTAATTATCGAAATGAAATTGCTTTAATTTTATAACATTTCATTAATTATGATTAAAATTTTATAGAAAAGAAATTAAAATTGTAAAATAATGATAAGGTAATTTAAATAGAAAAGAAAATTTATTTGAGTTTTCGGAACTAATACAACGCAATGCATTGTATTGTAAACAATGATTCAAAATAAATTATGGTTCCATTGACTGCAAATAAATAATAGCTACTGATCTAATTATAATTGTACTTATAATTTATGAATGCTATAGTGGTTGCAAAGTATTTCATTATGCAACTCTGTAAAAAAAATCGGTGATGAACTTTGAATTATAAAATGATAACTTCTTGTACATTGAACCATTATAGGATGCAAATTTGCTGAAACTTAATAAGGTGTTAAATTGAACCATATTTAGTTCAAACGGAACCATTTCTTATAACAATGTAAGGTTAATTTTAACATTAGCTACAACCTTTATCACCTAACGCAACAAGGTTTAGAAGTGATTAGCAAATAAACCATGTAATGTTGAAAAAATTTTAAGCTTAACTATATTAGTTATTGCACTTTGAGTTTCGTATTAAGCTTGCATAAAAAATAAAAAGCACTTTTATATCGAGATTGAATCTGCCTTTACAAAACAAGTCTAGAAAAACCTTCGATCGAGGATGAATTATCTTTTATAGAGGAACATCGAACATGAATTATCTTTTGCAAATCCTAAGTACAAAGCTTTTTCAAACAGAGGACAAATTCACCTTCTCATGGTTTAATTTCAGATTTTATGCGCGTCACTGAGACAAGATTTATTTGCGCAGGCTATTATATACTTTCTTCAACTCTTTAAAAGTGAAGGTTGGCCAAATCATTAAGTTTTCAGCGCAAACAAAATGTTGCACTTGAGAACCTGGACGAAACTAGAATGAAAAAGAGCCGAAAACAAGGTTTACAGTACCTGTAAATAAAAGCTGGAAAATTATATTTTTTTGTTAAGTTTTTTGCGTGCCTTTATTCAATTTGTATGGAAACAAACTTTGCATACTAACATTTCTACTAAGTTTAAAAAAAGACTTATCAGTCAACCTTTCTATGCTAACCAAATAAAAAAAAATATATAACGGCTGCCGGCTATCTGAGATATTATCGGCTAATTAGTTTTTAGAAGTAGAATAATTTGGCTCAATTTATATAATGTTATAAGATTGCAGAATATTTAAAGGATATAATAACTTCACAGGTTCGGATATTTCTGAACTTTTTTAACACACTCTGAACTCGCCTTTCGATAAAATGGTTTTTAGAGCAATTTCGCTAGATTCTTATAAAATGGTTTTCAATGGAAATAATTGTTTGAATCAAAAACAATCTTTGCATACTAATATTTCTATTAAGTTTTAAAAAAAATTTACCAGTCAATATTTCTATGCAAACCATATAAAAATAATTAGTTTCAAGCAGTTGAGTTGTAGTTCATTTACGCGCACTAGAGATGCACAATAAGCTATTGGCGACGATCGGGTAAACATCCCTGAGGATGATCCGAAGACATGGCATTGCAATTTTGATCCTCTGCAGAGGGGATGGCATTCCCGCTTCGGTAGTCCGACGACCTGCAAGCAAAGTCGAGCACTTCACGGAAGAACATTTTAACGAGGACCAATACCGCACACTCTCGGTCCCTACGCAGACTGATCCAAGTGGTCACCCACCCGCACACTGACAGCAGTCAATGATGCTTGACTTCGGTGATCTGCTGGGAATCGTGTCTTAACGATCAGCTAACTTTAAGCTGTAGAATAATATGGGTCAATTTAGTTCCATGTTATAGGATTGCAGAATATTTAAAGAAATATTAACTGTTATTTTTTGATATTAATTGTTATTTTTCCTTTACAGATGGTGTAAACGCAATGGGAGAAACGAAACGACAGAGAACGTCCTACACTCGATATCAAACGTTGGAACTCGAGAAAGAATTTCACTTTAACAGGTATCTGACTAGGAGGCGGAGGATTGAAATTGCGCATGCGCTCTGTCTATCAGAACGACAGATCAAGATATGGTTCCAAAATAGGCGGATGAAATGGAAGAAGGAGCATAAACTGGCATCCACCATGCCGCCACAGATTCCTCAAGTCATGGCTGACCATCACCCACATCATCACCACCCCCATCACCATCACGCTCACCACTTACACGGTGAGTTCAGACTGTGATCTAATCCAGATGAGATCTATTTAATCAACTAACCACGCGTTTTTTGTGGTTAAGACCATTTCAGGGGACAAAAATGGACGCCAAGGACCCAGATCTGGGCAAAGGCTGGCTTCTCTCTCAGTTCAATAATGTCTTCAACCTAAACACACAAAAAATTATCCGCAAAGAGGTACAAAAAAGTTAAAGGTCCGAATGTACTCAGTGAAGTTGGCACTTTTGTCAGTATCAAGTGTGGTCAGATGGGAAACAAAATGTATAAATTGGTACACAGAGGTGAAATACTATAAAAGAGTATATTTTGTATTGTAAGTACAGACTATTTACAAGTTTGCAATCTCAGGTATGAATGCCTAAAATAACCTTCTGAGAAAGTAACTTTTAAGGCAAGTCAGTGGATTGCAAGATGTTTCGAAATTTCACAGCATTGAATTAATGTTTGCATTATTAAAACCTACATCAAAATTTTATTGCTCCCACGACAAAAAAAAAAAAAAAATGTCAAAAGACTCAAAAATAAGGCCGAGTGGGTCCACTAGTGATGGTAATTTAAAAAAAAAAAACTCAATAGGTTTTTTTTTTTTTTTTTTTGAGAANTGTCAATAACAATGTCAAAAGGTTTTTTTTTTTTTTTTTTTTCTAATACGGGCAAAATTGATCAAGTTTTAAAACTATGGCTTTTGACAAGCCGACTAATTGCTAATCAAAACACAGAAACAACTGTTTCTTTATTGAGGAGAAAAAGGTTTTGTCTATTTTATTAGTTAGGAACTTTCAGTTTTTAAAAACTTATCGAAGTTGCGAAATTGCACTAGGTTCTAAAAATTCATGATCTTAAAATCTGACTAACTTTCTAAGTTTTACTACAAAAATTCCTGCTTATTTCACTTCATTTATCAAATATTAAACTATGGTTCTTAAAATTCTAACATAATTTGGAACAAAAGAATAAAGAAACAATAGACTTCTTAGGCAAGTGTTTTATTCCCTGGCTTAAAAAATTTATGTTTTAAAAACCCAGAAAAGCTGCCAAATTGCACCCGATATCAAAAATGCTTCGGTTTATTCCACTTCATTTATCGAATATTACTGGTCAAATATTTTTCTTATATAGTCAATGTTTTGGTTATTCCTTAAATGAATATTTATAGGTATTTACGAATTATATCTCTTGATCAGTTTTTATGATTAATAACAATGCTACCATTAATAACATAGCATTATTTATATATTGCATTAGTACTGTGCTTAAACATTATTTTGCAATACTTAAGACAAAATATTTATAATTTATAATTCATTAAATATTTAATACAATTTAGTATATTCATTAAATTTCAGTATTATGGTTATTTCCTTCCTGCATATCTATTAAGTATTATGTATATGACCATACGCATCATATCCTTTTATACATAATTACCATAATTGGCAATGTTAAAATATTTACTAATCTACACTATAGGTCATTATATTGCATTTTTATTATATTTGATTTTATTATATTTGATTTTATTATAAAATGTTTTTGACAAATTATTATTTAAAATTCAAATATGGAATTTATTCGTTATTTACTATTTATTAAATAATTTATTGTGTTGCTTCTTAGAAAAAATTGTTACTTATTTAGTTTTATTTATTTTTGTTTCATATTATTTAAATTATTTTCAATTTAAAATATTATTTTTAATTTATTTCTTAATTTTCATTTAGTTGCGGTACTTTTTATTAAATTATACTATTTTAGAATAGAAAGAAATTATGAATAAAAAATAATATTCGAGATAATAAATAAATACAATTGTATCTATTATTCAAATTATAAATATACTGTTGAACTTTCTAAACACAAAGAAGTTCAGCAATTAAATTTATCAAAAGAGTGTATGATTGTTTCACTTAATATTATTATTTTATTTTAATAAATTCCATTCCTATATTAAGCAATTTTTATCATTATGAAATAATAAAAAAAATGTTTATAATTTTTTAAATAATATTTAAATGCATTTTATATTTTTATCAACTATTCAGTTGATAAAATTTTTAATTTAATACACGTTTTTATCTTTTTAATTTAACTGTTGGGGAGGTTTACTATCGTCAACAGTTTTATTAATCTTATGAGTACTTCTTTACCAATTTTTCATCAGCTTATTTTTAACGAAATATTTATCGTAATCGAATATAATTATAGTATAGGAAAAATATATTTTCAAAAAATTCTAAAAATAAATTGAGAATAATATTAGCATTTTCATGTTTTCATTTTTATTTTTCAGCGAAAAAAAGCAAAAAAGAAAAAACTAAGCACATTTTGTGAAAAGTACTTAAGATTAAAAAGCACCTTCTATAATAATATTTCTTTTATTTCTATTATCATGCAATTTCTAAATAGATAATTTTTGTGTTAAGCAAATAATTTTTATGTTTTATAATTTCTGTGTTAAGTAAATAAAATTAGAATTTTTATGCAGATAAATCTTTCATTTTTAAAATTTTAAATCATAAAATGGCACATTTAATATTATTAATTTGTAATTTCATTCTTTTTGAGCAAATTTTAAAATAATCATTCAAATTTGCTTACATAGAAAGCAAAATTAACATAATATTTTATTTTTCAAATACTTATTTTCCTTATTTTCTTTTCTTTTATAGTGTGTTAAAAGCCTGTAATAGAAGCGAAGAAGATTTTAGTAGGCATTTCATTTGCTTTAATTGAAAAATTAAAGCAAAAACAACATGTCTGTGCATGTCTTTCATTTAGTCTGGTGCGTGCGGTCACATACTTTACATTTTTAGATTTGTCCACGATCCCTCTGTATTTGTTCTCTTTGTTTTCAATAGAAACTAAAAATAAGTTTCTCAGGGCATTCCTACAAAAATTGTATGTATTTTTGTATTGTTTATGTATGTGTCATGAAAAGTCACTGAAAAATTAATTAAAAATTGATTGCAACTAAAAATAATTTCAAACTGAAAATACTAGTAGAATTTTCAGAATTGAAAGTATAGATCAACATTACTGAAAGGTTTTTCAAAATTGAAAAATACTGAAAATTGAAATTAATTGAAAGATTTTTTAATCTGGAAATACTTTATATAATTTGAAAACTTTTAAGGAGTAAATTTATATTTTTGTAACGTAATTTGAAAACCATAGTAAAGATTTAACAGTGATGTTTATTACTAAATACAGACTGATAAAAATTCGACACTGCTCAAATTACAATAGAATCAACGTTGATATTTATACTGTTTCTTTTCAAGAAAATTCTCATCCTATTACTAATTGTAAAGAAAGGAAAATTGTTCTTTTCGAAGATTTTTTCTTATTATTCGATTATACTTATAACATGAATATGGTGTTTCAGTAAAATAGTTCAGTTTTGGAATTCCTTTTAAATAAAATAATCATGGGTTTTAGCAAAATTATTTTAGGAAAATTAAGAAAATATTTACACAAAGTTTGAAGCTTTAAGCAATGTTTTTAACAACATTATTTCAAATCACTAAAACAGGCATGTTTTCCTCCTTTTTTTAAAAAATCTTTTCTGTGGTTGAAATTTTTAATTACTGTATGTCAAATTTATTGTCATTATTTTATACAGAGAAGCGTCCATTAAACAACTAAATGAACTACTTAATATATTATCTGATCCAAACTTGTTTTGCATCTAAATTAAGTCTTATTTTTCCATTTTAAATAAATAAATAAAGCAATTTGTGCATTGTGAAGTGCATATGTTTACTGCAGTTTTAAATTTTATATAAATGCATACTGCAGCATATAAAACAGTTTTCTATTGTTGTAAGATATTTATCAAATCTATAATTCTTCCATAACTTGATACTATAACAAGATATTTTCGATAACTACCCCCAGTTTTAGCTTTAATATTTATTTACAAATTCACAATATTGAATACTCAATTCAACTTTCCACAAGGACTGAGTTATAAATTAAAATCACTGCAACTTTCTATGAATACGAAAAATTAAATTCAAATTTCAACAATATCTATTTCAAGTTTCGAAAATAATGAAGATTCACTATATATAATATACTTATTTCTTCATAATTTATTTTCTTAAATTTCTTGACTCCTAATTTCCTAACTGAAAATCCTATCTAATGAATGTTTTGCAATAGCGGATTGTTTATTGTTGGGTAACGGATGTTTCACTGTATACTTGCAATATACATTGCTCGTTTAATTTATGTAACATATTTTTCAAAGTAGTTAAATTTCTATTGCAGATGTATGCATGATAGAACAAAAGTTTTGGTAATAGTGATGAAAACTTGAATTCAAAAGTGAAATTTTACGATAATCATATTCATTGAAATACTATACAGCGCAAGCAATCCTATGAAAGACAGACTATTTAAATGTGCTCACTCATTTCTATATATAAAAAAAATAATAACAATAATAATAAAGATTCAGTTTCTGAATCTTTAAGACTGTGAAGAACTTTCACTTGTTCCTGTGCAAACTTTAAAAGGGATGTTTACTTGTACAAAAAATGAACTCAAATTTAAATAATGTATAAATGTATTCCTACTTGTGTAGAAAATATTTAGTGTGAAAATACTCCACCGGATAAAATTCAATTATCCGGAAATGTTTCCTTTTCGAAACAGTTTTGATTAATTTATCTGAAATGAACGCTGATGTGTCAGTGTTGTAAAAAAATTGTATTATTATTTCATATAGAACTTTGATTAGTCCTGGTAAAATCCCAATGATGAGCATTGTTTAATTTTTTTTTCTTTTATCAAGTAAGTAAATAGAAGTAAAGAAAAAGTAAATGAAAAAAAAAATTGCTAAAAAGTACTAAAAAACATTTTTATTCATTGATTATTTCATTGTTCCTATTATTTTTTATCGATGAAATAAATTAACGATAATCAATATTAATAAATTTGTAATTTAATAATAATCATTATAAATAAAACACAATTATTTTAATTGTATTAAAACATTGTTCTTAATTATTTTATCACCAATAATAAAATAAATTAAAAAAAAAAAACAAACTAAAAAACACCAGAAGCACTTAAATTTCTTATTCTTAGACTATTACATTGTTGCAATTATTTTTATCAAATAATTAAGGACGAAAAATTAAATAATAAATTTCTTTTAAAAAAATGACATTTTTCACTTAATGTAAATTTTTTATTTGAATGTTTTCAATAAAATTAATAAATATCAATCAAATAATCTCTGATAATGTATAAATACTTTGAAATCAATTTAACTAAATAAAATATAAGAAATCATATGTTTATTTTTTAATAATAAAAAAAACAACATGCTTATTATTGGGATATATTTATTTATGTACAGTGTTATTGTTAACGCCAAAGTTGTAATTTTGTTTGTATGTGTATGTGATAACATGTAATATCATACCCTCTAAATTTGTAATGCATAATTTTGAGCAAATCATTTTACTACGACTGATATGCCCTTTAAAAATTGAAAATTATTTTCCTGTTTGATGACAATATTTTTTCCATGTTGTATTTTGACATTTTTTATTGCTACTTCAAAAACTTTTATAAAAATATTTTAAGGACTAATATTTTAGATTCCAAATTATATGGATTCTATTTCTTATTTCAAAAATAGCTTAAGGCAGCAACTTTATTCTATACTATAAAACAAATATAACAGAAACTTTTAATTTCTAATAATTTACAATAATTTGTAAATGTGAACAAGGTTCGTTAAGAAATAAATTTCTATACATTCTAGCATTTTCAACATAATTTTAAATATTTTCTTCAAATTTTTAATGTGAAGTAATTTTACGTTTTATTAATGTTTATTAAACAGAAATACAGTCAAAATTTTGCAGCATGCTGTTTTCCAGCATTTACTTTTTTTCTTTTTCATTATGATATTTTCCTTTTTCTTCTTTTACTAATTTTTTGTTTTTAATTATTAAAACAGAGTATTTCTTAAGTTGAGATTCTATCATAAAAAAACTGTCTTTTTTTTAAATATTTATTTATTATTATTTATCGGTTAATATTAAATTTTCTTTTCATAAATAAATTGTCAAACAACTTCCAACATATCTCATGAATAAAATTATTAATTAATAAATGTTCGTTGTTACATTTACTGTTGGTTGAATTTGAATGATATGTAAATATTGATTAATTAAGAAAAACTGTTGATTATAATCTAAAAATTCTCTTTTTTTCAAATTGTTAAACTTTATTTTTTCATGTTCTTAAAGTTACTCGTTATTAAAAATGTTAATTTTATATGGTAAAAAAAAGAAGCTGATTGATTTTATGGAAATAATTTTTTATTATTCCCTTGAATTGGTGATATATTATTTTTTTCAAAAGAAAACAAATAATATTACAAAATTAAATCGCAAATAAACATTTGTATAATTTTAACCTCTGTAAAACTTCAGATCTAGTATACTTATTCCATTATTAAAAGTAAAAACATTTCCTTCATTTTTTTTACAGGCACATACTTAGATTTTAAAACTTACATACTTAGATTATAAAACTAAAGATAACAAAATTTGCAGTTTATTTTGTTGTTATCATTCTTTGTTAGAATAAGTCTTATTTTTTTCAAACTAAGAAACCAAATCATTTGTTATGCACAATAATGCAGTGCAGGCATCATTATTTTCAAACACGCATTTTAATCTACATGTGCAATATTTTATACCGGTTTATGTAAATATATTATTTGTTCGGAATAACATTGTTTCGTTACATGTTCAACATGTTTATGCAGGGGTGGTGCTTTAAATTTGTAATATTCGAGTATCAGTGTTCTAATTGGATTGACATCAAATATTATTGATTAAAATCTATCATCAAAATTTGTCTGAAGATATTTAGTTTTATTTTTATACATGAAGTTAAAACTTATTAAAGTTATTGTTAAATTCCCGTAATTTTTACTTTAAAAACGTAGTTTTGTTGATTAGAGAAACACATAAAGCAAAATATTTTTGTAAGCTACAAATCATAAGCATCAAAATTACACATTTGTTGTTTAGAAGAGAACAAAAACAAATTACACTTAAACTTGTTGTCGATTAAATCATATCAATAATTACAATAATTTTTTGGAGTGATTATTTTGAATCGATGTTTTATGAGCAACTAATAAAATGTCATAAATGAGAGTCAATTAATGTGACAAAACTGATGCAAATTTAAATTATTGCAAAATTAATTAAGGGTTTATTAACTCTGTAATAATTATGATCATTCTCCAAATTAAGTTTTTTGCATATCAAGTTAAAGACTTCAGTTTTTACTTACTTCTTTAAAATTAAATTCCATAGTTTATTTTAGTTTAAGAAAGACAAAAATTTGAATTTTATCTTCAATTCGAGTTGAAACAGCTTGTATTAGCTTCTTTTATTTAATTTAATGAGCATTAAACATGCTTAGAAATTTTAAAATATTTTTTAAAATATTTGAATTTGAATTGAAAGAGTTTCATTACACCAGGAGAATTCATTAGTTCCAAGAAGTTATAATTGTTGTAAAAATTGGAAAGCAATTGTTCATTTAAAACAAGCATTGATTTTATTGGAAAAAACTTATTTCGCAAAATAATCTTTATTCAAAAAATTTTGCTTGGTCTGAAAAATATTTATTTTGGAGTGAATAATCATAAGAGTTGATAAAATTATACTAAATATTTTAAGATTATCAGTATTTATTATTTTTATTTATTTTATTTTTTAAAGAAGGGAGTTTTCAGCTCATTGTATTCGTTTTCAAATTTTTTTTATTTGAAATCACGTGTTAAATATGATGTTTCAAGAATTTGAACAACTTTTTTGTTTACTATTCATCAAATTTCCTGAATAATGTTGATTAAATATTGTTTTTAATATTTTTCAAACAAATACATTCAAATTATATACATTATAAATTACCGATTCTTGCAGAAAAGAACCTTCATTTTTCAACTACTTTCACTTAATGTAAAAAAAATCATGAATGATTCATCATCATCATCAAACAAAAGAGAATATCATTGAAAGAACCTCCCTTCTAAACGAATAAAATCTCACTGACACACGCTGTGTTAAATTGTACTGGAAATCTATTGAATCTCATAATGTTTTCTTTCAGCATGTAGACGTGACATTTTGTGAAACATGTTTGATCCTGTTCTATAGTGTTCTGTCATTGTAGATGTTCTTAGTGTCGTGTAGAGTCCCTTCATTTGCGGTTGACCCCGTTTATTGTGAACCGCATCATCACCTTTCGTGTAAATATTGTAAATCTATTACTTGTTTTGTTTGAAAGGGACCTCCCACAAAGTTCCAAAGTCCTGTAGTTTCGTGGACATTATGTAATATGATCTAGAAACTTGATGGTGAACAATAAAGTAGAAAAATTGAAAAATATTTGTCTTTTTTCATTTACATCTTTTTATTTACATTTGCACCATGTAAATAATAATAACAATATATCATAATAACGATACACATATATTATCTTCAATAAAACATAATATTTACATACTGCACACATTAATATCACACAATTAAAGTAACTACACTGTAAAAAATCTTGTATCAAATTACTATCACTGTTTACTGTAACATCCGTTTTTAACGTAAAATTTTAAGGAGCAAAAAATCTGACATACCGTAATTTTTACATAAATATTTACGAAATTACTGAATCACGGTAATTAAGTATATATTACTGTGAAAATTGCGGTATAAAATTTTACGGTGAAATGGATTTTACGGATGTTTGCGGTTTGGGTGCCAGTTACTTTTTACCTTGACCCTAATTTGAACCGGGATTTTTTACAATGTATAACAAAATATTATAACTAAAAAAAAATAATTCAAAAAAAATAAAAAAGAAAAAAAAGAAAACGTTGTTTGCAAATGGACACATACAAATGGACACATCGTGTTTGCAAATGCATACACGAGTTTTCTTAATTTTAGAAAGAAAAATTAATAATGCTACGCTCAATATATTAATTGGTTATTATTAATTATTAATAGCAATTTGAGAAGCCAGTCAACCTTACACATCTTAACTTACATAAATTTATAATAGTAATAAATAATCCTAATAAATTCTACAAATTTCTTAATTAAATAAGCTGTTTAACCCTGCATAATTCTTTCGTTTTAAAATCATTATTGAATAAGTAAGCCATTTGTTTCATTACAATGGAAGTTTCAAAATTATTAACAGAAGTTAAATAAGCTAGCTAATCTTTCATAAGTCAATTTAAACAAAATTACTCAAAACAATTAAATAAGCCAGTTAACTCATTATAATTTATCTCTTTAAATTTATTTATTGTCATGCCATAAGTTAGTGAAGCCGTTATAATTCTAATGTTTCATACTCATTAATATTTTTTCAAATGCGGATAAGCTTTAGTAAGTCAATTTCTTCAAATTATTAACAATAAATAAGCCGATTTGCTTTTCCTTACTCAACTTCTGTAAAATAAGCAATAATAACTAAATATCATTCATGACTTAACTTTTTTAAAACTACTGACTGCAAATAAGACGGTAAATCTTTTGTAATTGAACTTCGTTAAACACATTAATAGTTATATTAAACATATCCAAGTCAATCATTTCTTGTAAGTAAACTTGTTTAAAAAATATTATGAACAATCAAATAAACCGGTAATTTCTTTATTAGATTTATATTGAATTAAAAAAAACTTATTCTTTCATATTGATAAAAACAAATACAAGATATTTTTTAAAAAAAGGGATCATGTGCATTTGCCTTAATGATTCTAAGTGCCCAAAAAATAAAAATAAATAAATAAATA